CGTATTATATCGTTTGCTATACTGTGCGCTCGCGTTCGCTTGGTAGACGGCCGGAGTGCTATAGTATAGTGCGCCGGACGTTACAAGACCAATAATGACATCATATATGACGTATATTTATGACGTATATACTGACGTCATTATTATGACGTTTAAAATAACGTCAGTGTTAGGTCATAATCACCAATTAGTGACAAAAATCACGTAAATTTACGTCATTACAACGTCAGCTGGTTGCCTGGGACCGCACTACCAATGCTAACGCTATCATCTCTGTTCATGAAGTCAAGATAGCGCTAGCGAATGTGAACAAGCACTAATTCGCTTGGTAGACGGCCGGAGTGCTGTAGTATAGCGCGCCGGACGTTACAGTCTCCCTCTGTTGAGTCGGACGCCTCAATTGAGACGCGGGTGCGGGGGGTCCCCATGGAGACCTTCAGGGCGCGCCGCGTAATGAGAAGAATAAGTTCGGGGGATGAGGACGGCGATCTGGGCCGGCCAATTAGGCGGGTCCACATCCCCTCGTCCTCGTTTTTCACCCCGGACCAGCGTCGCGAGGTGGACCGCCAGATCGCGGCCTTGGGGACAGACTCCACTCTGGATGTCGCCTCCAAGGTCGAGAGCTGGCTGTCGGAGGCGGAGGCTGCCCGTGTGAGGTCGGTCTCCGCGATGAAGGGCTCGCTGAGTGGCCAGTTAAAAATGGCCATTCATCCGGCCAGGGAGGCCTGCCTCCTCCTGGCGAATCGCGCCATGGGGGTTGCGGAGAGGGTCGCTCGGGATCCGGACCGAGTGGCCCTCCTGGAGGTCTCAAATCGGGATTTGCGGGAAAAAGTCAAGCGCGTGTCCGCTGATCTCGATGTCTCGCGGGCCGCGGTGTCTTTCTTGCGTAAGTGCAGGGAGGACTTGCGCTGGCGGGGTTTTGTCGGGCTCGGCGGAGACTGCCGCGAACCCCGCACCCGACGCGGTCGGGACTATGGAGGAGGACGTCTCAGTCCGTCGGCCGG